TTGAACCTCCAGCCTTCTCATTAGCAGTCAAGTGCCTTAGGCACTATACTACCAGAGCTCCTAGGTATATACCCAAAAGAATTGAAAGCAGGAATGAAGGCTTGTACACCAAGGTTCATTGCAGCATTATTCACAGTAGCCAAAAGGTAAAAACAATCCAAACGTCCACCCACAGTTGGGTCATAATCATGCAATGTAACAGAGCTCAGCCATAAAGAGAAAAGAAGTTCCGATACATGTTCTGAAATGGATGACCTTGAAAGCATTATGCTAAGTGAAATAAGCCAGACACAAAAGAACAAATACTATATGCTCCCACTTAAATGAAATATAGTATCTAAATAGGCAAAAGCATAGAGACAAAAGCTGATTAGAAGTTACTAGGGGAAGGAAGAAGAGAGGAATAAGAAGTTACTGCTGAGTATAGTTTCTGTTTGAGATGATGAAAAAGTTTTAGAAATAGTGCTCATAGTTACATAACATTGTGAATATAATTAATGCTGTGGAATTAGACACTTAAAACACTTTAAATGGAAAATTCTTATTATTACCACAATAAAAAAATAATAACTTTTTCTATAAAAATTTTAAAAATACTAAACTAAGGCAAGTTCTAAAGTCAGATAGCAGTCCCAAGGTGGTATAAATGCCCTCTACTAATCAAAAGGTTGGGACTGGAACCCGTCCAGAGGTATGTTAGAAGAAAGGGCTGTCAATCTACTCCCTTAAGGTCAGCAACATACGGGGTCACTGTGAGTCAGTATCAACTTGACAGCAACACGTTAGGTTTTTTGTTTGTCTGCTGTTGTTGTTTTGGTTGAGAGTCATATAGAGCCAAGTTCAGATTCCAGCTCTAGCACTTACTAACTATGGTCAAGTAAATAAACCAAGGGTAAATAACATCTGTAGCCTGGGTTTCCTTCTCTGAAAACAGCACCTACTTCATAATGTCAGATGTACAGATTGCGATAATATAAAGAGCTCAGCATGATGTCAAGCAGGTAATAAACGTTCAATAAATGTTAATTATTTTTGCTATTATTAGTATTAATAATCTTTTAATGACTATTTAAGTAGTACTTGATAATTAGCATTTAGATAAGTGGTATGGTAAAACTCTTGTTATCTGTATTTGTATGTACATGAATGAACTAAATGGAATTTTAGAAAAGTTTGTTCCACATAAGCCATTTAAGTTTTCAGTTTGAAATTTCTTTTTGTTCTTAATTAGTTTAACAAGTTGATAGGCAAACTCTTTCACAACACTAAATTTCTACCTACTTCTTCAAATATCCACTCCTTCCTAAAACATTTATTGAGCAACTACAGCGTCAGCTCATTAAAAGTGCTCAATAGATGCTATTGGATGGATGGGTAGATGGATGGATGGTGCTGAGAGAAAGGTCACTTGATGAAAGTGACCACCATCAGCTCTCACTGAATAGTGGTCCACCTTTGTGAAAAGCCATAAGGGTAGGTCTGAGGGACTGGAAGAAAATGGTTAAAGGCCAGGATCTTGATGCAGATAAAAAACAGATAGAGTAAAAAGTAAGACAAAACTGAAGAATGAGAGGCTATGGTCAGAGACTGAAATGGGACAGTTTGAAATCCTAGTGCAGGAGCAGTTTGCCAGTGATGACAAAGTCCTAGGAGAAGCCATGAGGATGTATTCTTAGGTGGCCAGGAGCTCTGGAGGTCTTTACTCCAAGAAAGGCTTGGAACTCTGAATCCAGGTTGTAGGATGGGTCATCTACATGGGCTTTGAATTATTACAGTTTTACTATATATCTGATCAAAATTGCTCCATGGGGGGATGTCTCTTATATAACACTGAATTGAATATGAAATAGTAATAATACACTGAACAAAGGTATTTATTTCTAATTCTTGCCTTGTTTTTACCTCAGCAAATGAGTGGTGGTTGGTGTGAAAGGTCAAGGGTGTGTGTGTATGAGAGAAAGAGAAGCATGTGCATCTCATTGTTTTGTTGTCTGACCTTTTCAGTATTTTAGCTCCAGGCCAGTTGTAAAGCAACACTGGGAGTCTTGTGGGGATTATATATAGCAAAATGTCACCAGCCACCAAAGACATTCTGTTCTCCCCTCCCAATCCACATACTTGAAATTTACACCCTCAACAAAAATTCACAGTAAATTTTGGCTTGATGAACATTATATTTGTGCATGGGAGGTTTTATTTATCACTTCTATTTATAGTATTAAATGAAATGTGCACAGACCTGGAGTTAGAAAACCAAAAGGGAAGAACTTGCTCTGCATTTCTCAAGCTAGAAGAACTGAATCAAAAATCCAAGCCTAAAGTTGCAATACTGAAGGATTCTATGGGCAAAATATTAAATGATGAAGAAAGCATCAAAAGATGTTAGGAATACACAGAGTCACCGTATCAAAAAAGAATTGATCGATATTTCAGGAGGTAGCATATGATCAAGAACCGATTGCACTGAAGGAAGAAGTCCTGGTTGCACTGAAGGCATAAGCGAAAAGCAAGGCTTTAGGAATTGACGGGATACCAATTGAGATGTTTTAACAAATGGATGCAATGCTGGAAGCACTCACTCATCTATGCTAAGAAATTTGGAGGACAGCTACCTGGCTATCCATACCAACATACCAACCAGTTTAATGAGCATTGCCTTCACCCACCATAGCAGTGTTTCTCACAGTTCTCTAGATTGTCAGAATCAGAACCATCTGAAGTGCTTGTAAAAATGCAGATCCCTGAGGCCAACCCCAAACTCACTGAGTAAGAATCTCTGGAAGATAGGCCTGGAGATCTGTATTTTAAACAAGTTCTCTAATGATTCTTCTACATCCTCAAGTTAGAGAATACCTTATTCTCCAAGGTATTTGTAGATAGCAGTGGCTTAATGCAGTGGCATTTTCTGACTTGACTTGTATCTTATCAGGGAACAATGTTTGCTACACTACAGGAGTCTCTAGTGGAAGAACCCCAGGCCTCAGGGTCCAGCAACAGAGATATTTGGAGGTCATAGAGGCTCCCCAGGATCCTGCAGCAGGGAAGCAGGTTTGAGTGTGTGCACTAGGGTTTAGAGTGAGCTGTCCTCTGGAATTTTTGGCCATAGG